AAATGTACTAAATTTTCTTTTCTCGGATCCTCCTCCTTCCTCCCCAGCAGGTTATTTGCCTAATGAGTCTCCGAGCTCATAAGTGTTTCTAGGCCAGCCAGCCAGCCAGCCCATCTACTTGCGGTTGAGTAAGCTGTGTGTTTTTCTAATGGACTCTAATGCCAGCTCCTGAAGTTTATAGAATAAAAGTGTGATCAGCTTTAATGACCAGTTTATGCATGGTAATAGTCGGATGTGGCTGGCTAAGCCCATTGGGGCTTCTGGAAGGGCTGTAAATTGAAGCTGGTAACTGTACTTCCTTGCTTCATTGACCAGTTCCTCTCACCTCCAGCTCAGAAGCGACATGCTCCGTCATTAGCACCGGCAGCATCCGTCCCTGGCTGCCCGCCCCCCATGTGTGCTGACACATTTTATAGCCAAAATAAATGCAACAGAACTGTTATGCAAACATTTATTGCCTTGCTTCTGTAGCTCTCATTGAAATAACTTTTTAATATTTCCTCCCTGTATGAACTGAATATTTCTCTTCCATCTTCTGTAATTGCTCTGGGTTAATCCCTTATAGCCCTGGATTACAGCTTTAAATTTTCTGCTGGGCCAAATTTAAATCATTTGATTTTCCTTAACAGTGAATGAGCATTCTTGTTACAATAAAATGGTCCTATTGCTACTTTTATTGACTTGCCTTGATCAGTTCCGTAATCCCACTAGTAACTCACCACCAAAGCACTGCATAATTACTTATAGATCCAGGTTTTAGAACTAGTGGACATAGAGCCTTGGTTATGACCAGGGATGCTAGACACTGGTATTTTTAGTTACCGAGTACTTACTGAGCACTTTCTACATGCCTAGCACTGTCCTGTGAAAGCACTGTCCTGTCCTAAGTCGGACAAGTGGGACGTGAGCCCCGCCTTTCTCCCCAGAGTCACTGAGGCTCATGCAGAGGCACTGGTCCAGGCACAGAGACACATGCACTAAGTGCTCCCAGGAGAGAGCGAGAGAGCCTCTTCTGCACAGGGGCCCCAGGGAAGCTTCAACCATTCGCTCAAAGGGTGGGTAGGCTTTTGTGTGGTGGATGTGGAATGAGCCTTTCTTGGCGGAGGAACCTGAGCAAAGACAGAAGCTGGAAGACCCAGAGTGTCATGGCAGTCAGGGAGAAGTTCCATGGTTCGTAGGAGGGTGAGCAGCCACCCGAGGATAGTGACTATCAGACCACGGGGCCTGGACAGAGATTAATTGGTGTGCTCTCCTAACATCATTAACAGTAAGATCTGATTTCATTCTTTGTTTTCCCCCAAAAGCCATAAAAGTGTTGTATTTGAATGGAATATTTAAAATCTAATTCGTATGTCTGTCAAAATGGGCTGCAAACTTGAAGGGTTTTTGTTTTTTGGTTCATTTTTTTAATTTATTTTAAATTTTTTATTTAAATTCAATT